ATCTGCAGTTTACAAGAGTCACCATTACTCCACAACTTCAGAGACAGATGGGATTGTCATCTTTACACGTTAGTCAATCTGGTAGGTGTGTAATTGTGTTTAACTGTGGTTTGAGTTTTCATTTTCCCCAGTACTAAAGAGGTTCATTGTTTGTTGTCCATCTGGATTTTTATTCTATGATTTTTCTTTGGCTTATTTTTAAATTAGGTTGTTTGTCTTTCTGCTTAATAAATTATATCCAAATGGATACTTGATTGTCCCAAGTAGCATTTATTGAGAAGAATGGTGGGCCAGAACTCACCAGAGTTGATTGTTAAAGTTTCGGAAGTTTTGTGAGCAGATTGTTAAAGTGTGGGTAGCTTGACTTTTCAATATTTCTTTTAGGATAGGTTTAGTATTTCTGAATTCTTTCAGTTTTTGCTTGTGAAATTCTTTCTCTCTCTCCTTCTAAAGGATAGTCTTTCTGGATACAGTATCCTACATTGCAGCTTTTCTCATTCAGGAAACTTTGAATATATCTTGCCATTCCCTTCTGGCCTGCAATGTTTTTGTTGCAAAATCAGCTGAAAGCCTTATGGGGGTTCCCTTGTAATGAACTCTTTGCTTTTCTCTTGCTGCCTTTAGAATCATTTCTTTATCTTTAATTTTAGCCATCTTAATTATAATATATCTCGGTGTAGGTCTGTTTGGGTTCTAATTGTTTGGGACCCTCTGTGATTGCTATACTTGGATATCAGTTTCCTTCTTTAGGTTTGGAAAGTTTTCAGTTATGATTTCTTCAAATACTTTTTCAATCCCCTTTTCTCTTTCTTCTCCTTCTGGGACCTCTATAATGCATAGGTTGGCATGCTTTATATTATCCCATAGGTCCCTGACTTACTCATTCTGCCACTTACTCATTCCTCTGCATTATCTAGTCTGCTTTTGACTGCCTTTAGCTCAGCTCTTATCTCAGCCATTGAGTTTTCTGTTTTTAATTGGCTCCTCCTTATAGTTTCTATTTCCTTTTTGTAGTATTCTGCATTTTTGTTCATAGTCTCTCTCATTTCCTTCAGCACTTTCATCAGCCCCTTTTTGAAGTCATGATCTAGTAGACTGTGGAGGTCCACTTCTTTGATTGTTCTTTCAGAGGACTTCTCTTGTTTTTTTAATTGGAATGGTTCCTCTGCTTCTTCATTTTACTTATCTCTCTCTGGCTCTAAGTGGAAGCATTCCTGTGTAGACTGTGCACGTCTAATAATTTTGTTGCAAGGTCTGTTTTTAGTATGGATGGTTGCCACATCTTTCTTCCATGTGTGTTGGTTGTTATCCCTTTGATTGGGGATGTTATTGGTGTTGTGGTGATCAGAGCCTGCCTTGTTTGTTGAGGGACCTCCTTTTTATTCTGTGGTAAGTGTGGGTAGCTTGAAATCAGCCAAAACAGGAGTGTTTACACCATGGATATTGGCAAATGCTACAAATCAGGGCACCCCACCCCCCAGCAGAGAGTCAGTCATCCACTACACCAATGGAAAAGACCGTCTCTTCTACACTGCCCCACAGTGCCGTCTCTGTCAAAACCCAGTCCATATACGTGTGGATGTATTCTTATACTATCTCATCATTTTTTTCCCTTTATCTATCCCTAGGTCAAAGCCAAATTGCCTTATATAGCTTTACAGTAAGTCTTGATATCAAAAACCTTTGAGATGGTGGAGTTTTCTGTTTCAGTTTTCTGTTTCTGTTATTACTTTTTAGTTATATTGCATTATAAAGTTATCTACACTGTTTATAATTTTTGAGGATTATTAAAGTTCTCTTTATAGCTTAGTGCATAGCCTAAGGAAACAAGGTATTATTCACTTTTTAGGGTATAAATTGTTGATTGACTTTTATTTTATTTTTGTTGAATTTGAGAATCCAAAATAGATTTAAATTTACAAAAATATAATACATATGTATGGGTAAGAGTGTGTGTATTTTTTTTTTTTTACTTTGGGTGCCAATGTAAGATTTTATTATAAAAATGAGATTTAGGGCTTTAAAAAAGTGTGAAAGCCACTAGCCTAGATGATCCCTAGAATGTGTAAAACGTGAATTTAAATTTGTGTAGACCCTAGAGCAACCCCAGAGTTAGAGCTGATATCAAAGTGTTCCTAAGGTATTCTTTCCTCATACTTTTCATTAGTTTTTTTTCCTCTATACAATGTGCTAATAAAAAAAATCTAGATTACACAGAGGTAGGCCAGGTGTTATACTAGTCTTTTATCAACAAGTGAGAGCACATTAAACAGTTTTTAATTGGTCTTAGGGAAAGCAAAGGTGAAATAAAAATTCAGTTCTCCTGGACCTTTGTTCAAAATGCATTTTTCCATCTCTACTGTAAAGAGTGAATTTTAATTAACTCGATTCTCACCATTTGGTTATGCATTTGTAATCTTTGTTCACATTTTGTGAAAGGAAAATTTGATGAAAGAAATTGGACAATAATGGAACTCTTGTCTGAGCAGAACAAATTGGAATTATCAAATACATTGCAGGATGACTGGCATGCCGCAGCTGGGGGAGGAGAAGCATCAGAGCGGGTGACTTATGAAAACATTTTCTTCCCAAAATGCCACTATTCAGCCTGCACAGCCTTGTCCTGCACAGAGAGAGAGCATTCCAAAGTGGTGAGGTTTTTGGTGCCAGGCAGACCTGAGTTTGAAGCCTGCCTCTGACCTTTTATGGTAGGTCACTTAATTCCCCTGATTCTCAACTTCCTCATCTGTAAAATGGAATGATAATATCTGCCTTATAGCCTTGTGAGGATTGAAAGGAATGAATTATAGGAACGTGCCTGGCACTTAATAGTGGCTCAGAGAATTACCAAGAGGAGCATTTTAAAGGAAGGATCAGTGGTGGGGCCGAGGGATACTTGTGAGATAACTGGCTTGTTTCTTTTTGAGAAGAAAGAAGTGGGCAGGGGCAGGGGTGTCTGTGTGCTGGTATTGGTGCTGGAGGGGTAGGAATGGGGTCTTTCTAGATCTTCTTTTTCTCACTCTTTCTGGGGCAACAAATATCTGGGGTCTTTTGCAGAGGAGTCCATTCAGGATTCTCATCTGTAGTTACAAAACCTCCAGGAGTCCCTGCTTACCCTGTGAGCTTTGTGGGACAGCTCTGAGACCATCAAGGTCATGGAGCTAAGCAGAGTACACCAAGGAGGAAACAAATTAGGAGTTTCCCGACCAGCAAGTTAATAGCAAATAGCATGAGTGGCAAATAGCACACATGGTGAGGAGGAGAGGGTTTGGCAAAATATACCACTTAGGGTTCCGTGGAGAGGTATCAGAGAGGGGAAAGATAGAATTTTTGGCCGTGGAGCTTGTAATTTAACAGAGAAGAGAGAGAGAACTATAGCCACATAGGGTGCTAATTATAAAGCTCCAGTGGTCAAACGGCTTTTTTTTTTCTTTTCTGAGATAGTGTCAAAATCAAATACTCCTTGAGGTTCTCAGACCACATGCCCAGGGATGGGTTCAGAAAATACAGCCCCTATATCTTTATGTGCATCATTTAGGACTCATTGCCTGAGCACCTACTGTGCTCCTAGGACTCCCTCCCTGTTAGAAGTGTAGGTGTACTTGGGGTTTGACAGATCTGGGTTTTAATTTTCAGTTATGGCCTTGGGGAAGCACTTATCCTCTGGACACTTCAGTTTCTTTATTTTAAAAATGATCACATCACCTGATGGTGGTTGTGATAATTTAAGGATGCTTTGTAGCACAGACCTGTGCTAGGCTCTCAGAATGGACAGATGAAGAGAATCTGTTTTCCCAGGTTCTCCACCTGGGACATCTTCCCCTCTCAGAGGGCTTTTGGCAATGTCTAAAGACATTCTGCTGTCACTAAGAGGCTTGGGGGCACGCGAAGGGGCATGTATATGCTAAAGATTCTGCAATGTATAGGACAGCCTCCTGCCTCCACCCTCACAGTTTCTTCTGATTTTGGAATTAGAAAATGAAGATGGGCCTGTTTTAGAGGTATTCCCGGCTCCCTGAAGTGAGGGAAGATGTCGTGATCCCTAACGCCATTTTTAGGCGGTGGTCCTTTTGGGACAGCTTGGCAGCCTCCTCCTGCTGCCCTGGAAGTCCTGGTTGAGCTCCCTCCGAGGACGCACTTCCCACCCCAGAGGCATCCTGGCGGCCGGTGCCATTCTCATCCATATACATGTCCCCATTTAAAGTCTTCCTGCCGCTGCGGGAGAGGGGCCTGAGCGGTGGGGTGAAACTGAAAGGAGGGAGCCGGTGCTCCTCGGTCCCCGGGCAGGAAAGCGAAGCAGGCCATGTGCAGAACGCCGGGAGGCTTTGGTGAAAGGCAGGCATGCTATGGGGACCCCATTAGCCTGTTGGGGGTGACTTGCTGGGGCAGCGGCTCCAGCCAGCGCAGAGCCTGACTGTTCATTGCCAAGACCCCGAGGGCCCGATGGCAAAGCACCAAGAAGGCCAGAGCTTGCTGGCTGCTCCAGGGCGGTCCCGCCACCTGACTGGCGACCGAGGTGGACGCCCAGGTCCAGCCATCTACCCTCCCCCCAAACTGGCAGTGGCCCAAACCTTTGACGGGACCCTAAGGCAGCTGTGGCAGTGGGGGCAGGGCAGGAGAGAGCAGTAGGTCTTATCCAGCTTCATCCCGGGACTCCATGCCCAGTAGCGCACTCCAGCTTCCCCCCCGCTGCGCCTCCTCGGTGGGATGCGCGTGAGGGCGGACGGCGACTCTGGCTCGGCTGTGGCGGCGGGGGAGGTGGGGCCGCGCGTCGCCCCGTACTCCGTCCGGAGCCAAGATCTGATTTCGAGACCATGCTCGTGTGCTGAGTCAAACCCTTGCTGGACTGGGTCTGGGCCGAGAGCACAGGCAGCGGTTATTAATGATTAATCGCTGACCACCCCGCCTCCAGCCGTTCGGGGGAGGGTGCTCCTGGAGGGCGGGGGAGTTTGGCCGGCCAGGGTCAGGCCGCTGGGAGGGGAGCGGAGGGTCACCGGAGACGGGGGGAGGGCCTGCGCGCTGGGGGCTGCGGGCTCACTGGCTGCAGCGAGATTGGAACCTCCTTCCTCCACGCTCTCCCCGCCTCACCCAGACACACCCCCTTCAAACCCCACCCCTAGGCGCCTCTGGCCTCTCTAGGTTGGGCTGCTCCAGGAAGTTTCCATGAAAGCACCTGCAATACTGTTACCTTTTCCAGGTGAGCTCAAGAAAGCCCGGCGCCCACTCTGGTGAGTTGCTGCTGAGAACTCTGGGATCCGCAGGGAGGGAGAAGGGAAGTGACTTGGGAAGCCCTTTGGACCTGTTGGCGTGGCTGTCTTCCTCATGGCTTTTCCCAGCCGCTCCAGCAGAGACTGCTCCAATATCATCGATCACAGCCATGTTCCCGAATTTGAGGTGGCCACCGGGATCAAAATCACCCTCAGCCTGGTGTACCTGAGCATCTTCGTGGTGGGCATCCTGGGGAACAGCGTCACCATTCGGGTCACCCAGGTGCTACAGAAGAAAGGCTACCTGCAGAAGGAGGTGACAGATCACATGGTGAGCCTGGCTTGCTCGGACATCCTGGTCTTCCTTGTTGGCATGCCCGTGGAGTTCTACAGCATCATCTGGAACCCCCTGACCACGCCCAGCTACACCATGTCCTGTAAGCTGCACACTTTCCTCTTCGAGACCTGCAGCTACGCCACGCTGCTGCACGTGCTGACGCTCAGCTTCGAGCGCTATATAGCCATCTGCCACCCCTTCAGATATAAGGCTGTGGCTGGGCCCTTCCAAGTGAAGCTACTGATTGGCTTCGTCTGGGTCACCTCCGCCCTGGTGGCACTGCCTTTGCTTTTCGCCATGGGAGTCGAGTACCCCTTGGTGACCGTGCCCAGTCACCGGGGGCTAATTTGCAACTTCTCCCGCACCCGCCACCATGAGCTGCCGGAGGAGAGTTTCAACATGTCTATCTGTACCAGCCTCTCCAGCCGCTGGATCGTGTTCCAGTCCAGCATTTTCGGTGCCTTCGTCATCTATCTTGTGGTCCTGGTCTCCGTGGCCTTCATGTGCTGGAACATGATGCAAGTGCTGGGAAGGAGTAAGCAGGGCACGCTGGCAGCCTCGGGGCAGCAGCTGCAGCTGAGGAAGTCGGAGAGCGAGGAGAGCAGGACCGCCAGGGGGCAGACCATCATCTTCCTGAGTGAGTCATGGTAGAGGGCATCCTCGGAGCAACCCCCATCCCAACCCCCACCCAACCCCCACCTGCCACTGCTTGAGGTCCTCTTAACCAAAGGCTTACCTTAAGAGTGTAAAGCTAAGTTCGTTGAGCCTGAAGAGGCATTGATCTGAGCCTCTGGATGTTTATTCTCAATGTTTTCGGGACTTAGGTTATGGTCAAAAGAGCGCCCGATCAGATGTCAGAAGGGCTGGGTATATTCCAGCGTGGCAGCTGTGTGGGTGGGCTAAGTCACAAAATGTCTTGGGTAAAATGGAGGCAATAATACTGAGGAATGTGAGGGTCCAATTAGGTAATGCAGCAGAGGTGAAGGTCCTTTGAGAAGGACCAAGTTCTATGCAGATAGAAGAGCACATTCTTTTTTTTTTAATTTTTATGTTCATAATGGAGGTCCTGGCGATTGAACCCAGGACCTAATGCATGTTAAGCATGTGCTCTACCACTGAGCTACACCCTCCCCCACAGAAGAGCACATCATTACCCTGGAGAACCTTTCTCAGGCAATTAGATTTTGCTCCCATTTTTCTCCTCCTTTGTGAGGCTGTCAGGAAAATAGCCTCCAGACGGTGACTTTACTGCCTCATAGTGCTTGTCTACCCAAGTCTTAAGAAACTGGAGCTCCCAGACATACACTCCCCAGGATAGTGCTTGAGTATCCACTGAGGTGGGTCTGTTCCTTATCTGAGCAGAGACTCATGGCAGGGCCAGCCTGGTTTGTCTGATTCAGAAAATCTGGCTTCACAGATTCCCGGGACTTGACTGATAGTCCAGAATACCCACTTCCCGTGCAGAGAACGCTGTTTGTTTTCCAGACTTCTGTTGTCATCCAAGTATTTAGTCTTGTCCTTTCGTGTGTCAGGAAGGAAGGGGCCCGTGGTCAGCAGCCCCCAGGGCTTCAGAAGAGAGGCATGGTGGCTGCCTTTTGAGAGATGGTGTTTTCTTGTAGACACACAAAGTATATGTTAACAATGGGTTTTTAAAAAATATTTTTTAGCAGAAACAAGAAAAAGATACCATTGTGGATGTGTGAGTGAGTCAAAGGGGAGTTGCTAGAACCACTGTTTTGCTTTCTTCCCAGCTCCCTCTCCAGACATCAGAGGAGGAATAAATCATGGTGCTGTTTGTTTTGGTGTGGGAAACTTGAGAAACAGGTTCAGGGCGAGGACCTAGGAGAGAAAATTGGAAGGCACTAGAAGAGTGTTGGAAAGAACCGGGTCTTGTCCCAGCCCTGACCCTGGCTTCTGGTGTGTTGCATACACCTGACCTGACTCTACTCTGTGTCTGTGCAAAGTGAAAGGAGAGAATTTGCAGTTTGGGATGGCTACTCTGCATCAGGGGCTGTGCTTTTAACTTATACTTCCATTGCATAGAGGAGGAATTTCAGGCTTGGAGAAGACCGGGTTCAAATGCATGTAATTGCAGCTGGCAGATTCTAACCTTGCTTCTCAGGGCACGGAAATGGGTGGCTGGCTTGCCTGTGGCTTTTTCACAGGCTCATGGGGAAGGGCAAATAAAATAAAGCAGAGCTTTGATTAGGAAGGTGCAGTCTAGATTAGGCTGGTGGTGTTGCAGCCTTTCTGGAACTTGGTGTAAGGTGTCTGTAGCAGGTGACATCGTCTAGGGACTTAGGAAGGGCACCCAACCCAACTCAGTCTTCCTCACCCACTGGCGGCTGCCCAAAACATTCCAAGAAGAAAGGAACATTAGATTTGCTTGAACATCTGTTGAAAGACTACTTCTCCATTCCCCCATGTACCCTTAGGCATCTCTTAATCTTTCAGCAGTGATTTATACTTTAGTGTGAATGCATTTCATTTTTTGGATGGTGCAGGGCACTACCTTCCACTCTAATTTAGGAATTAAGGCTGCCTTTGACCAAGGGAAAAATAATTGATTTATCTTTGTTCTCTATTGTACCAATCTCTTAAAATTAAAAAAAAAAATTCCTCTGAATAGATGTCTCTTCTTCTCCCAGGGGGTATTGTTCCAAGTTGAAGTCAGTCTCCATTGTGTAGCATAAAATCAGAATGGCACAGACTTTTATGTATGGACAAGTACAATCTTGGAGACATCCCATCCAGTTAGTAATCCGCTGGAAGGAGTCCTTTCTCACACTGCCCTCATTCTCTCCTCCTGGTTTTCTCCCTCTTTCTTATAACAACAATGTATTAATCACCCACTGTGTTCCAGGCATAGATTGTTGAATGGCAATCAGGTGCTCAATGTGTCATCATGTCTTGGGGGAACTTAACCATTTGTATTTAGCCCATTTCCCCTGCAGTAGGTTCTCAAAGCAATTCTTGCAAATGTCCCCCTCTCCCAATGAATTTCAAAGAGCTCTTCAATACAGGAACCTCACTAATTAACTCAAGTTAGGGAATAAATTAATGGAGTGAAGAGGAAGAAATCATGGCCTGCATCTATCAGATTAATACAATGCAATTTACTTCATAGGGTTTCATAAAACGTATGCTTTGGGGCATTTTTAACCCAGAACAAATGAATATATAAATTGTTTACAAACCGCTAAATTTAATAGAGTGATGTAGCTGTCTTTTTAGCACTTCAGTTAACAGATGTATCAAATTAAAACAAATATTTGCTCATTTCAAACATATTTTGCATTTAATGTGAAATGTAAATGACACAGCACAAGATGTCTTTGGAGCTCTGGAGGCAATAAAAAAACAATTAAGGACCCCTCCCTCGCCCCGTTGTTAAAAATGCTAACTTCTGCATAACGGAAGGGAAATTCATAAATCTACCCAAGATGAGGAAGTCTATGGAGAAAATAGTAATTATTTATATCCTCTCAGTTTAAGACCCCAGATGTGAGGTCAAGTCACATGCTCATATGAGAGAGAGAGACTGAGAGGGACAGAGAGGAAGCCGAGATGTTATGAGGGTCCTCTTTATCTGAGGACCATCAGGAACTGAAATAAACTTTTCAAGTGAGTTCCTTAAAGTGGAGCCCAAAATTTCCCATGAAAAGAGGTTTGATTGGGACTTCATTGTGAAAAACAGAAGGGAAAAATTATGAAGAGAAATCTTGTCTTGTATTTTATCAAACAGATTCTGATTATATGCTAATTCTTACCATACTGTTTCAGAATGAAACAAGTGCTTTTTGGAAGACTTAATTTTTCTGCCAGAACTATGTGGGATAGCCATTGTGTTTGACTTTCTAGAATAGCAAGATCATATAAAGAAAGCTTTCTCCCAAGGGCTCCTCTTAATTCCTTGCTATTTAACTCACTCTCATTGACGTACCTGTTCTAGCATTGTCCTTGTCAATTTTCCGTTCTTTGAGGATTAATAGGTCTTTCAGTCAGACCTTCATTTGTGAGTAGCTTGTCATTTGATTCGTATGTTTCTCCAGCGTCCCTTTCATTGACTTCATGAAATTCTGCACCCCATGTGCAGGCCAAACGCAAAAATATAATTAGTTGAAAAATCGATCTCTGTACCCTCGTGTATATCAGCTGATTACATGGAAATGAATGCCTTCAAATGCTTTTGAAGTGCCCAGCGAATTTTTAAATAGTTGTTTTCCTGGCTAGTTTAGATACTGGTCTTAGAATCATGTTTGTGTCATTAATTTTCTTAGACATAGCTTTTTCTGTGATGTAAAGGGCTATGCCAACTCAGTCTCTCAGGGAAATAGCATCAAAATTAAATTAGTGACATTTTATAGAGTGAGATATTATTTTGAATCAAATGTTTGGCTATTTCAGGAAAAAAGTTTTGCCTCAAATATTCGGTTTCCTGCCTCTATTCTGTTCTTCCCTGTACTGGTGTAGATGTGGCTGTAATAAATGGTGTTTCGTGTTTATTTTTCTATTTGTGATGTCTGTCATAAATTGCACGTGTCCTGTGATCACCCTGGTGGATGAATATAATAATGCTGCTTTATTTTTATAATCAGGCTGCCTAGAGATTTCATTTCTCTGTTGGAGAGACGCATGGTTCCCATGGAAGTGAATATTGGAATCCCAGTCCCCATTCATTAGAAGCCTGTTCATCTGTCTTAGTTGCATGCCCTGTGGGGGCTGCCAAAGTGTAATAAGGCAGGAGAGGCCTTCATCGAGCAGAGCATTCAGCTTGTTAGTGCTGAAATCCCTCAGAATAAAAGCCATTTGCGTGTCCAGACAGCACAGCAGAAGAATATTGAATTGGGCGTCAAGAAGCCCTGTCCTGGCCCACCAGACAAGGTCCCCTGACCCACCACTTGGATGACATTGTCATCTCCCTCCGCCTTTTCCTTCTGCCCACCTCCCCTGCTGGTCTGCAACCCTGGGGCAACCCACCTAACTCTCCACCTCCATTCCTTGTCTGCCTCCTGAGCACTGGAGAGAAGTCTGGTCGCCACTGCTGCTGTAAGTTCTTTTTAAAAAATTTTTGTTGATGTGTACTTGATTTACAATGTTAGTTTCAGGGGTACAGCAAAGTGATTCAGTTATATATTTATATATATATATATGTACGTTTTCTTTTCAGATTCTTTTCCATTATATGTTATTTCAAGAAATCAAACATAGTTTCCTGTGCTATACAGTAGGTCCTTGTTGTTTACATGTTTTATGTATAGTAATGTGTGTCTGTTAATCCCCAACCCCTAATTTATCTCTCCCTTCCCTTTCGCCTTTGGTAACCACAGTTTGTTTTCTATGTCTGTGAGTTGGTTTTTGGTTGGTAAATAGAATTTGTATCATTAACAGGTTACTGGATAAAGAAGATATAGTATGTACATACAATGGAATATTACTCAACCATAAACAAGAATAAAATAATGCCATTTGCAGCAACATGGAGGGACCTAGAGATGATCATATTGAGTGAAGTGAGTCAGACAGAGAAAGACAAATATCATAGGATATCACTTATATGTGGAATCTAAAAACAAAAATGATGTAAGCTCTTGTAAATAGATGTGTTCAGCCTCACCTGGGCCTCGCTTTCTGGTG